TCAGGTTGGAGGTGGCCTAGCCTCAGGGGCATGAACTGATAACAGAGTTCAACTGTCTTGTGATGTGGGTCAGCCTCTGCTCTCCAGGCCACTTTGAGAAGTTGTCTCAGACTTGTGACTAGTTAAGAATTATGTTCTTAATTTGTGACTAGTTAAGAACTATTAAGAATTATGCTGTCGTTTTAAAGTTTCTGTAGAAGTTAATATGATACCATATTAATTGATTAAGGTCCACATAATTTTTCTTCAATATTTTACTTCTCCTGCTCCCAATAAAAAAGTCAAACTGAAAGTTTTGTATAGGATACCAGACGTTAGCTAAGTGCTGGAGGTTGAAAAAAATATATAAAACATCTGCAGTAAGTATGGCTAAAGTTTGCTATGATTCCATTTCATTTGGAAGTTCTGTGTATGAAAGGGTGAAAATAGGCCTTGGCATTGTGAACTGAAATCAAATAATATAATAGTTTAACAGATGGAAGAGCTGAGCTAACGAATGTGGTTCATCTCTCCGATTTATCTTCCAGAGGTGTAGGGATAGGTATTAAACAAGATACTTAGTCCGTGGTCGGCAAACTGTGGCTCTCGAGCCACATGCGGCTCTTTGGTCCCTTGAGTGTGGCTTTTCCACAAAAAACCATGGCCTGGGCGAGTCTGTTTTGAAGAAGTGGCATTAGAAGAAGATTAAGTTTTTAAAAATTGGCTCTCAAAAGAAATTTCAGTCGCTGTCCTGTTGATATTTGGCTCTGTGGACTGATGAGTTTGCCGACCACTGTACTAAGTAGATCATTTTATATGATGATTAACACTATGATGCAGTAAGTTAGAGAGATCCGTGGATTGTGGTGGGGGCAGTGACCTCACTTCAGATCCAGTGGTCACCGAAGGCTTCTCTAGCCTGGGAGGGAATGTTGCGGAAAAGGAGCGGGTCACATGCAGCTCATGGGAAGAAGCGTCTTTAGGTAGGAAGTGGCGCCAAGCCCAGGCCTAAAGGCAGCAGGTAGCCTGGGCCCTTCAGGATCGGAAAGAAGGCACCGGAACTCAGTGTCTTAGTAATAGTGACCTTAATCCTCAGACTGGTTGTGTGTTCTTAGGAAATCGGTCCATTTATTCACTCTTTCTACAAGTATTGATTAAGCACCTATTGCATAGCCAGGCACTGAGAACAGAGCAGTCTACAAAATAGACTGCCTGCCTCTCATTGGTTGGATTATGTAAAGACCTTTACAGGTACATCGAATGTTTCGAGATGCCTCCCCTTCTTGCTTTTTAGGTTGTTACTTTCTTTACAATCAGACGTGAAGGGAAAAACCAACAAAACATTGCCTTTTCTGTCAAATGCTATACGTTGACAAATATATTCTTAACATTTGGGGGCACGATGTGGAGGGAAATCCGATGCTGTATGCTAGTGCTCACCATTAAGAAAGTGAAACTGACTATTTCCACTGCTCTGTCCATGTGTCTTGTCTAAGATAGAGATCCCTTGTTGCCAGTTCCACTGGCAGCTGAAAGGAAATTGGTGAATTCCTGTAGCTGCAAAGACCATGTAGATTCTAATCAGAGTTAAGAGTATGACTTGGAGCCCAAACCGGTTTGGCTCAGTGGATGGAGCATCGGTCTGCGGACTGAAAGGTCCCGGGTTCAATTCTGGTCAAGGGCATGTACCTTGGTTGTGGGCACATCCCCGGTAGGGGGTGTGCAGGAGGCAGCTGGTCGATGTTTCTCTCTCATCGACGTTTCTAGCTCTCTATTCCTCTTCCTTCCTCTCTGTGGAAAAATCAATAAAATATATATATATATATTTTAAAAAGAGTATGACTTGGAGATATGGAGGGGAGACTCATGTGTATATAGGTGTGTTTGTATATGTGGATGGAGGAGTCCCTCCCCTCACACACATGCACCCAAGAGAGTAGAAGAGAGTACATAAATAAGAAAAAAGGAACATTTCCTCATCCAGTGTGTTTGTGTTGGCTGTGAGCCAATTTTTCTAGAGCTCTAGTTGATAAGAGGGAAAGGAAAAAGAAAGATGTCATTGAGCCAGGAGAAAATTTTCTCTAACCATGTAGTAGAACATTATTTGGCTATAAAAGTAATGTAGTATTGATTCATACATCAATATGGATGGACCTTGAAAACGTAATAGTCGCAAAAGAATACATATCGTATGATTCCATTCATATGAAATACCTGCAGAATAGGCATACCTATGATGATATAAAGTGAATTAGTGGTTGCCTACAGCTGGGGAGATTGGAGAGCAAGGGGGAGTGGCCGCTTATGGGTATGGACTTTATCTTTAGGGTAATGAAATGTCCTAAATGTGACGTGGTGATGGTGGCACAACTTGGTGAATGTTTAAAAATACTGTTGGATTGTACACTTTATTATTTTTTTAAATTACAAATGTACTAAATAGTGCAATTTTTTATTTTTTAAAATATACTTTTATTGATTTCAGAGAAGAAGGGAGAGGGAGAGAAAAACATCAATGAGAGAGAACCTTTGATTGGCTGTCTCCTGCATGCCCTCTACTGGGGATCGAGCCCAAAACCTGGGCATGTGCCCTTGATTGGAATCTAACCCAGGACCTTTCAATCTGCTCTATCCACAGAGCCAAACCGGTTAGGGCTGAATTGTACACTTTAAGTGGGTAAATCATATGATATGTGAGTTATATATCCATAAAGCGCTCTTGGGGGGAAAAAAGGTGCATAATTTTGAGATTCAATTGGCAGTTTGTAGATGGTTAGTCTCATTGAATCCCCAGATCCAGTCTCTCTGGGCCCAGAGCTTCAGGTCACTGCAGGCCCAAGTCCAAAGCTGCCTGGAACTTCATTCCTGCCGCCCTGCTGTAGTGGTTCTGCTGTCTGCATTGAGGTTTTAATTTACCCTTTTATGAAATTGGTTTTGGATCTATCTCTAGGACTTGGGGAGGTCCAGAGGACCCAGAATATGCCAGTGCTGCGTTGATCTATGGACCAATGAAGAAGAATAGAGAGCATCAAAAAGCTCCCAGGACACATGTCAGTGTTTCAGGCATGGAATCACTACTGTTGCACCACCTGAACAGTTCCGCTGTTATACTTCCTGCCAGCATGACCCTTAGAACAGAAACATATTTCCTTGTGGCCTCTTCTCCCCTTCCAGAATTCTGCAGTGGTTTCTTATCACAACACATTCAAACTAACCGGCCTCTTCTGTGACACTAGTTTTGTGTGGGAGCCCAGCTTGAGTAGTTTTGGAACCAGAACCCTGGGATAGAATCCCACCTCCCTCTGGTGGATGGGTTGGCTTACCTTTCCAGTGTCTTACTCTTTATAAACCACAGTTTGCTCATCGTTAAATCAAGGTATATTTGCCATTACCTACTTTGAAGGGGAGATTTTAAAAATTGAATCAGATAGTCTTTGTGAAATGCTTCTCCTTTCACAGATGTGCAATGAATGTTAGGTCATTCCCCTCTCTTTTTTTTCAGTGCTGTCTCTCACATGTCCCAGCCATGAGTCTTCTGGCTCAGAGTTGACCAGGAACCTCTCCTTTCTCTGGTGATTGACACAGTGTGTTTGCTCTGTCCTCATATTCTGGGTCTACCTGCTCCAGGTTTTAGTGCTTTGCCTTTGTTGTTTTCCATACCCAGATATCTAAGTCTTATGCTTCTGTTTCATGAATTCTTACTAGATAGGGGCAATAGTAATATTTCCTTTCCATAGTCCCTGTCAGTATTGACCTTTTCTTCACTGATTTGTATTGCTTTTGTTGTTTTACATGACTAACTTTATCCTTTTCACCTGAAAGACCAACTTGACTTGAAAAAAATACTTACTTTACTTTTGTTGTTGTATTTGCTTGCAGCTCCCATGTGCTTCTTTAAAATTTTCTTAAAAAATGATTTATAGAGAGGAAGGGAGAGGGAAAGAGAGAAACATCAATGAGAGAGAGACATGCCCCCTACTGGGCATGTGCCCTGACTGGGAAGCAAACGATGACCTCCCAGTTCATTGGCTGACACTAAACCACAGAGCCAGGCCCACGTGCTTCTTTTAAAGCTGGGCCTCTAGCAAACTCGTAGTAGATGGTTGGCTTACAAATTGACCGCCTACAACTCTGCAGTATTCAGTACACGCTCAGTGAAAAGATGGTGTAGGAGTAGTTGCAATTCTTTGTTGTTCACAGTCCTGTACATAGGACATGTTTCTTTTCAAACTCCCAATGGTGTGAGAAGAAAAGACTAGAAGAAGAAAAGAATTTCTCTTCTTACCTCCTTATCATAGCAGTGGCCCAGCTTAGCCTCCTGTCCTAATGCCGGCCCTGGACGGGGAGAGCTGTTCTTGCTCTATCAGGAAGATGTTTGTATAGTAAGCATTTTACAGGGCATTGCTTTCTTCCTCGCTTGCTGGCTTTGCTCTTTCAAATTTGACCTTCTTCCTTTTTGATCTCTAAAATTAGAGACCATTAATCATATGTTCCTGAGCTGTATGTTACATTAGAGTAATGAAATTCCTGGGGGTAGCCTGAAGTCTGTATTCTGTTTAATAAATATTTAAATATCTGTTCTGTGCCTGGGATTGTTTTAACTGGTGGAGAAAGATAAATAAATAGCATGTGGGCCCTGCCTTAAAGTTGCTCACAGTTTAAAGACAAAATATATAAATAAATAAAATTATACACAGAAAAAAGGACTTTATAATTCTTCCGTAGAGAAATCAGAGAAGTTCAAAGGGAATGTACAGTTTGAACCTTATTTTGTTTAATGTATTTAAGTGGACACTGTCTTATAAAGTTTAGTTTTGTTGATAGACATAGGGGAGAGATTTCAACCCTCTTAGGTTAATCAAGTTTATATTTGCAACCTCCCAAATTGTTTGGAAGCTATAAGTCAATAACTTTCAAAATACAACCATGCACCTTTTTTTGTTGTTGTTATTTAGGTGACTGCTTAGGAAACTGTACAGTCCACCAACATCTGATGAAATTACTGACTAAGCAAATCAACTATGTCTTACACATCAGGAACCAGTGGTGACCCCACTCAGCTGGCCCAGCGGATCTCTTCCAACATCCAGAAGATCACACAATGTTGTAAGTCAAGTTTTAAATTGACTTCACTGTTTTCAGTTCTTAGCTGAACTTGGTGGAGATTAAGAAAAGGACTACTACTAGTGCTTGAGAGATGGAGGAATTCCTTTAATTTATTTTAGAAGGCTAGAATTCTTTAGAAGGAACATAAGAAATAATTATAGCCCTAGCCAGTTTGGCTCATGTTGACCTGCAGATTGAGTCAGGGTACATGTCTGGGTTGCTGATTGGATCCCCAGTAGGGAGCTTGCAGGAGGCAGCCAATCACTGGTTCTCTCTCATCATTGATGTTTCTGTATATCTCTCTCTCTTTCCCTTCCTCTTCGAAATCAATAGAAATATATTTTAAAAAGAAATAATTATATATAGAAGAGATAACACTGAACTGCATTTTTCTTTAGAGCTTTAGGCACATAATATAATGTTATAATGAATAAAGATGTAAAAAAGTACATATTTATGTTTGCTTTATAACTCTCTGATTCTAGGTGAGATTAATGAGACTTGACTAAGTTTCACAGGTTTGAAAAGAGGCAGCACTATCAAGTTTTTTTTTAATTTTTATTTATTATTATTATTCATTTCAGAGAGGAAGGAAGAAGGAAAGGGAGAGATAAAAACATCAATGATGAGAATCATTGATCGGCTGCCTTTGGCATGCCCCTCACTGGGGATCGAACCAGCAACCCTGCTATCTGCCCTTAATTAGAATCCAACCTGGAACCTTTCAGTCTGCAGGCCAATGCTCTATCCAGTGAGCCAAACAGGCTAGGGCTCACGTTTTTAAGGAACGTACAGTTTATTAAGAAAATCTGGCTGGATATGGTTGAGGTTAATTTTGTAAAGAGTAACTGTGGTATGTTATGTATGTTATCCAGGAGCAGGGAAGAACTAAGGAGGGAACATTATTATCTATTTAGGAAGATAAAGAAAATAATTATCTGGATTCTCCAGATTCCTTTGCTGTATCTGTCAAAGACAGAATATTAGTAGTCTGATTCAATGTGGCATGTTATTAGAAATTACTGCACCTCAGAATGTACATAAGACAAAAAAAAATCACTATAGCAGATTTGAGCCTATAGAACTTTCATTTTGTTTTACTCTTTGTTTCTGAATCACATACCGGGATGATTCTAGTCATCTTGTGGTCACTGTTTTGACATTCTGGGCATTATCTGTGCAACACTTTTAGACTGTTATTTTATTTTTCTTCATTCTACTTCTTTCAGGCTACTCTTTTTACCAGAACGTTGATACACTGAAATGAGGACTATTTTCAGATGACCATTATCTAATCATTAACGTCCCGACAATTATTACTCTTCGTGAGATGTCAGTGTGTTTTGGGACAAAGGGAGTAAATTAGATTACAGATGGTCCTCAAAGAGTGCCACTGTGCACGGCTGGGTAGAATAAATGTTTATTCTGCTTTGGAGTAATACTTGTTTTCTTTGGTGATTATTAGAGGAAAAGAGAGTGATTGCTATAGTGTAGAGGTGTCATGTCTGTCAGGGACCATAGGAATGGTCCATCAGGGATTGTTCCAGTTTGTGCCAACACACCAGCATTGTCTCCACCTCATTCTTCCAGCTTCTTGTCTATTCTGATGATGCTCCAAAGAGCTTCTCCTTTCTGTGGCTTCCTTGTTGCTGATTAGAAATCACGCTGGTAGCCTCAGCCTACCTGTGTGAAAATTAAGAGAACTTGTTTTAATTTACTTGTGTGGAAAATCTGGATCTTTGTGTAAGAATGGACTCCACGAGGCCTTTCTCCAAAGAATCGGGAAGGTGTCCTCAAGCTAAATGATGCCAGGACTTCTGGGAAGAAGGAGAAATAACTGTAGTGTACTGAGATTCTAAAGGCAGTAGTACTTGGTGGTGTGAAAGATGCATCAGGTGGAGATAGCGTGTGAGCTTGAAATGAAAGGGGGTAAGAGTTAGCTTAAATCAGGTCATGCTCCTGAGGAAGAGATCAGTTGATGCAGGCAGATGAGAAGTGGTAAATTGGACCAGCGTTGCATATGCATGGCACAGTTGATAGCTGAGTATGCCACTGCATTGCCATTAGGACAGTTTGGAAGTGGTGATTAGACCCACTACTGTTTCTTGTGCAGACCTATTATATGGGGAGTATTTTACCATTAGAAAGTACAACCACTATCTTTAGATATTTGAAGCATAATCTTATGTCTTATGTAAACATAAGAAGCTGCCTTAGCTTAGATGGGGAAGAGGCTGGTAGTGAGGAGACACTGGGAAAGAGCATTTAAATGGAAGCCACTGCTGGTACTAAATAAAAAGCAGGCAGGAGATTAGTATGTGCAGAAAATGCAAAATAAAACTCCAGTGTGGCTGAAACACAACACTTGAGGCAAGAGTGACCGGAAATGACATCGGAGAGGAGGTTGAGCAGGTCACCTAGAGCCTTGGAGGCTATCTGAGGAGATTAGATTTCATTCTGAGAGGCAGGGAAGAGGCACAATCAGATCTGCACTTTGAAAAGATTGCTTTGGCTTCTCTTAGAAAATAGAGGAGGGACACATTGGCCATCACAGGTGTCCGATGAGAGAGATGTGGCTTACATCGGGGTGATAGCACTGGGGACAGAGAGAAATGACGGATGTTCTCTGGAGGCAGAGCCAGTGGGACTTGCTGATGAATGCACATGGACTGAGAGAGAAAGAGGAATCCAGGATAACTCGTGGCTTTTGCATTGAGCAAACAAGAGAATGGTGAGCATGTACTGAGATGGGAAGGACTACAGTTCAGAAGTGGGAAGAGTTTTGTTTTGGTCAAATAACTTTTGAGATGTCTTTTAAACATCTAAGTGAAGCATCTGTTTTAAATACACTGAGTGGCCAGATTATTATGATATCTGAACGCATAATAATCTGCCTACTCAGTGTGCGTGTGTGTGTGTGTGTGTGTGTGTGTGTGTATGTATTAGAGGCCCAGTGCATAAATTTGTGCATGGGTGGGATCCGGCCAGACTGGCCAGAGGGAGGGGACATGGGCGGTTTGGCCAGCCTGCCTGCTGGTTGAATGCCTGGTCAAAGAGACAAGTTGCATATTAGCCTTTTATTATATAGGATATACACTGAGTGGCCAGATTATTATATGTTCAAAGATCATAATAATCTGGCCCCTCAGTGTATATGAATTAGGACATCAGAGTGTCATCAGAATATAAGACCATGGTTCTAAAATAATTGCAAAGGAGTGAGTAGAGTTAAGAGAAGAGGACTGGGGCATTTAAAAAAAAAAAAAATAGAGGTCAAGAAAGCAGGGAGAAAGCAGCATAAAAAATCAGGATAAATTAAAAAAAAAAAAGAATCAGGAGTGATCAGAAAGATCACCAGAAAATTAGCATTTGGTGGATTTCTAGAAATTAAAAAAAAAGTGTTTTAAGACTGAGTGAGGCATCATCTGTATCTAATGCTGCTGAGAGACTAAGATAAAAGCAGAGAATTAGAACTTGCAAACTGATGACTTTGGAAAGAGTGGTCTAATATCCATATTCCAAGTTAGATGGAGAAAAAGAAGGACAAGACTTTTCAGAATCCTGCTCACCTCTGCTTATATACTTAGATATAGTCACATGACCATGCCTAGCTGCTAGGAAAGCTAGATTGCAATGTGCTCACTAAAACTGGGTATTGCTTCATTTGAGAGAGAAGGGGGAAAATCAGTATTTAGGCAGCTGGCAGATTCTATCATGGAAGTAGAAAGAGGATCAAAGATCCTCTTTTTGTTCAGTCCAAAAGGGAGATTCTAGGGAGATTATAATTGTAAAAGAACTGTCTCTGAAGGCTAGTGGGGAAGGGGAATGGATAGTTAGTGTCTGGCTCGTCCACTGTACTGGGTTGTGTGGTATAAACAGTAAATGTGGTGGGTGAAGATGAGGAGTTCCTGTCTGAATAAGCTGTTTTTAAACAAAATAGGAGGCAAAGGCTTTGGATAGAGAATGGGAGGGAAGGCTGGTGGAAGTCCATGGAAAGAAGAGAAAGTGATTACTTGTAGTTTTGACAACTGGGAGAATCGACATACCTTGGAACAGAGAAGGGTGAATGGCAGGTTGAGTACCGTATTCATTTGAGATTTGGAGTCTTGAATTTAGTGAAACCCGTCATCACTGTATTTTTTCTGATTCTGAGGTTCAGTGTCTAAATGAAGGGAAGTTTAGATTTAGATAGAGTTAGTTTTTAAATGTTTAACCTATTATCCTGTATGTGCCAGTGAGCAGGGCTGTGAAGAAATCACATGGAAGTGAAAGGCAGAAGTGTGAAATTTCAGTTCACTTTTCCCCATCTGGTAATGCTAATAATACTGGATGAGATTGAGTAAAATGGTACTTTTGCACCGCATTTGGATGCTCTTTTCACAGTACATTTGCATCTTGTGAATTTGTGTCTGCATGAATTATCTAGTTTTACAAAAGAAACCTAAGGAGAACATGCTGTAAGTAAGGTGACACCCTTATAGTTAGAATATGTGATCTTCCAAGTAAAGCTGTAGTCTTCCTGAGCAGTGGGAAAGCTCATTTTTAAATTACCTTTGCTATAATTGGGTTGTATGGTTTAGTTTATACCAAAAAAAAAAAAAAAAAGAAGAAGAAGAAGAAGAAAGAAAATAGTAATCAAAAAGATTTTTCATTCTTGGAGGAACCCAAGGATAACATTTAATAAGATGGGAGTTTAGTGGTGTTGGGGGCGGGGGGGGGGGTATTGCTTGTTTTTTTTGTTGTTGTTGTTATTTGTTTCTAGTATTTTATTCTGGCAGTTCTGTTTTGCAAAGAATAGGATAGATGAAACAAAATGTATTTAAACATTTTTCCCTTAAACGACTTTTTATTAAAAATAATGTGTAGCCTTATCAATTTGATTTACCAGTGAAATATTTAAACCATGTCGCAGTAATATAATTTATATCAAATAAAAATATTATGAGTACTTAAATATAAAATATATTTAGATAAAAATAGATTATATTAATGTAACTTCG